GTCTAGCTCATGATGTTACTCGACGGTTTCTACCACTGGTGACATCATTATAGCCACTCCCTCAGTGTGCTCATGGTTGTCGTCTGGGTGACCAGAGTAGATTACTGGCTCTCCAGTTGACAATTTTGATAAAATTAGTTAGGGTCAATTAATAGCTGCCACCCACTCAGCCGTCAAATTTTCAGTTGAGGTAGAAACCGGACAGAAAAGCTCTTTTCTGGATGGGACTTTTAACAGATGAGTATATAGAAGGCCTACGTGAAACCTCCAGTTGACCAGCTTAAACACTTGGGTACCCATCAATCACAAACGGAACCTGATATTATCTCTTGTGACTAAAACCCGAGCAATCTGTAGCCCTGAATCAGTCGAAGAAGTGATCAGTCTGTTGAGGAAGGCACTACTTGAGAATGACTATTTGTCACGCTTTATAGATAAACACAAAGCCTAAAAGGCAACCAATAACATCCAATCTCTCAGCCAAAGAAGGTGCTGTATATGAATGTGGCGTTCAACAGGTGACCTTCTGGTCGATATCTTAAAGAGAAGAATATCTAACGCCCTGAAAAGAACATTCTCTGCTGCTACATTACGATTAGTACTCTCATGCCGCCCATTGTTCTTCAACAGCTGTAAAGATAAACTATCGCATTTGACCACTTCTAAGTGTATCTACCAATTTACTTGCTCATATGGAGCGAGAGAGATAAACAGGTCCTTCGATGTATGTTTCATCTAAAACATTCAAAGAGCATTATCCCGCCTGGCCACGAAAAGGTAACAGTGGATCATTAAAGAGTGCTATAATTGAACTTATACTCAATACTATAAAGAGAATTCATTGAAAGTTATCTCCAAGGTTGGAAGAAACTTTCCAAAAGCGGTAAGCTTCCGCATACTTTGCATTGCCGAGGAGGTCTTAGCGATTCGCATAGAAAACCCTGATTTATGTACACAGAAGAGACTTCTCCACCCCCTCCTTCTACTCTGGGCATAATTCCAAGTTCAACTATTATCACTATTTTATTATTAATATGATTTTTTGCATGAAATTTTAGTGACATCCTTTTCTTTACTAACCCTCTATTTACTCTCTTCTTGTCTATTATGTAATTCATTCTGGACACTTACTTGTCTCCATGCTGTTTCATTAACACAGCTATTTTTCTGGACGTCTTTCATATTGCGTAACCCTAGTTTAACCTCCACCCTCTCTCCTGGTTACAATTCGATTATTCATCACATTTTTTTTGAAATGTTTTGATGGCGTAAACAATGACCCTAACTAATTTTATTCTGAATAAAGCGAGAACTACAGTTTTTGCAGAATAAAGTGGTACCATCATTGTTCATTTCGTTGCCTTCTCATCAGCTGCTTACAGGCCACAGTCATTATTAAGTATATCTACAGAAACAGTTTTAACATACACAGAATTCATTTTAAACAAACATCAATCGATCAATTATATATATATATATATATAATATTGAACACTGTTCCGAACAATGGTGATCATACACAATGGAAACTTTTCAGCATTACGTATTCGGATGAAAGAGAGATTGCAGTATCCAGTTACCAGGGCAAAGAAAGACTGAAAACTGTTTCTTTCTGAACGCACAAATCAGGTTTCAGATGCTTGATGGAGATGACTTCAGGAAACTTGAGGAAGAATTGAGCTCTTTTGCCTATTGAAATTTTGAACGATTTCGCGAAGTCTACCTCATGACCCGTGTCAAGAAGATGCCTGGCGATGGCACTGTTTAAAAGATTTGTTCCCTTTAGACATAAGTTTTTTGGTACATGTTCAGAAAATCGTAGATATGCTCTCCTTTCTTTCTGTCCTTCCAATGTAACTGCTCCCGCAGATACATGCAAATTTGTATATACAGTTGGAATTGTTAACATGAGAAGGATATCTGTATAAAAAGAAACAATAACATATAATTGCGATTGTACAGCTAAGTGTGAATGAATTCACGGGTGAAAAGAGACTCTTCACTGAACTGTCTGTTCTTTAATCGATAAGCCTGTTTACCTAATTGAATGAGTTGTTGGTGGGATGATTAGTGAATTACACAAACAATAAAGTGGAGGTTGTATTTAGTGTACTGGGTAACCGGATTGAAATGTGGATGAGTGAATTAGTCCTCATGTCATGATTTAAATCGATGAACATTTGTGTGTATAGAGAGCTCTACGTTAACTTGTCAATTAGTAATCAATCACAGTGGTTCAAATAAAACTTCTTGTGTTCGGACCATTTGACTGGGATTGGGTTTCAACAACATAGAACTTAAAGCACAGAAGTGCATCACTTCAGTTCACCATACTCCATGTAACACACAAAGGTTGAGTAAAGAGGTGAAAAAGAAGTTCAAGAGAACTATACGTGAGGGAGGGAAGGGGCAGAAATGTACGAGAGAGAAAGAATAGTATCGTGAAGTAGTGAAGATTTAACGTTTTCAGGGGATAATAAGGAGTGAATATATGTACTCCATTGAGAAGGATTTTTAGCCATATCACCTATCGTCTCCAACCATTGGTTTTTGGCATCCTGATGACCCTAGCCAGGCAGTCTACACCTCGCTACGTGTCAATCTTCATGTACTCCTAATTGGTTTCCAACGTTATTCTATGTCAGATAACATTTCTCACTGTGGAAGACGATTGCTGGGCATGCGCAATACATATTGTAGTCACGTCAATCGATATAGCTGCACAACCTCATCGATTGACGTATCCTGCTTCCTTAAGACTACACCTACCCTGAATATGTTGTCTCACTATGTTACATTACTTAACATGGGAGACAGAATTCAAAAATCTCTGATCAAAGACAGTTAGCCAGTTCGTTTCTCTATATCTTCCACTTTCAGTGGCTATGCTTCACAGTTATAAAGTAGACACGAGCAAACTGCTGCTGCTAAGTACACATATTCTGTAATCATTAACAGGATATTACGTCTACTTCAGAGATGATGTGCTACAGTAACCTGCTGTGATTTCCTCAGTAATCAGTCCTTCAGCGTCGGCGCAAATTCCCGAAACTGGTGAAGTGTGTAACACGCTCTCAGCCAGTTCAGTCATTGTCTCGAAGCTAGGAGTTAGTGTAGTCCAGTCATGCAAAATCAACTCATGCCAAGCATTCGTAGGTTTCTGCTTAGAGTATTCAGAAGACTCTACATCTTATCAGCATCTCCGCATAACCGGTGTCGATAAGACTTTTCCCTGGTGACAAGTTAGTCCCTAAATCTTCAAAGTCTGTTAGGGTTAATTCCATTCGTATATCGATCATTTATGAAATTAGACAGTGTAGGATCTGTAAAGTGAATGATCGGATTCTATAGAGCTGTTCAGTAACTTTTGCGTCTTTGTTTGTATCACTGATATATATATATATATATATATATATATATACGTATATGTGTAGTGTAACTTCTTTATTTTTGCTATTTTACTATCATGGATTTTTCCTTTTCGAATTACTACAAATTCATATGACTCCTTTTGAATCGATTTGTTTGAAATTAGCTTATTTACTTGTCCTGCAGTTATTGAATCACGAGTTCGCAATCCATTCCACCTGCGCCTAGGTTTAGACAACCAAGCAGCTTGGCCGAACAATACACTATGAGTGTGGCCGATCACCAGGTGTATGTAGATATGTGGAAATGCAGCTCATTGGCGTAGGCACACTGGTTTGAATCCCGTCTCACCAACTTTCACCTTAGCAACTGAGTAGTATTAGACTTACCTATGGAGTTAGTGTGCTTCATATCCCTTGTTCTGGCTAACTCACTCGTAACCAAGTCTCAGTATTGAGTAACATAAGTACAATAAGTCATCAACGGCTTATAGATAGATAGGAGCCGACTGACTATAAAACAACATCTGCGCCAACCATTGAGAAAGATTTTGAGCCATGTCATCAATTGTCTACAGCCTTTAATTGATTCTTACCATCCCAAGGAACTCAACCAGTTAGCAAGTCTATGTCTCCTTTTTTGGCTGGCTAGTTTAAACTAACTGTTGTGGATTTTAGTGACTGATGCCGCCATGTTTTGATCTGACCACTACCCTTAGCTCTTTTCCCATATTATCCCATGTCAGTTGATGTTGTCCGTCGAGGAAGGCGATGGCTAGTCAGTTATGCGTTTCACATTTCCAAGCCATCTAAATCGATGTAGCTTCACAACTTCATCGATTTATTAAATTCCTCTCCTTACCCAAAACTGGACGCCTAACCAACCCAATATTATTCAACTAACACGGGACATAGAATGCTGACGCCCATAATCAAAGACAGCTAGCTAGCCTTTCGATGTCTTCCACTTTCAATAGCCATGAGTCACTCACAACCACAAAGGAGGACAGAGCGGACTGCTGAGCAGTACTGACGTCCTTTGATTGATAGCCAGTCGGATATCATGTGAAGTTCACAAATGCCAAAACGAGCCTTCTGTATCCGTGTTTAGCATTGGCTGATGCAACCTCCCAAATAAGTGAAGTGGTCAGCGCGCTCAGCCATGACTTCACTCCCAATCTTCACACTAACAATCGGTGGGGTCTGGTCTTGTAGCGTCACCGTACATTTGACAAGGGGAGTGAATAGCATGCCAAACATCCTAAGGTTGCTGCTAAAGGTGTTTAGAAGACTCTGCACTTTGTAAGAGTCTTCACCTAGGAGGCAAGACTATATCATCTGGATATTCCAATTCAACAAGATCAATCTCCGGTAACAAGTCAATCGCTAAGTCGCTGAAGTCAGTCAGGATTAATTCCATTAGTGGATCTATGATAAAATTAAACAGAAATGGAGAGAGTGAGCATCCCACTCTGATGGACACCACTAGTTGTCATCACTTCAGAACAAATACAATCGGTTATTAAGTAACATTTCATTACAATTTCCAAATAGGAAACATACATTTTCACCTATACTAGAGATTTACATCATAACTTCCATTTGCCATTTTCTATTGCAAAACTCTTCTAGGTGTAAATGATCGTACTGTAGCAGCTGTCTCACCAGATACTAGTGATTCAGAAGTACGTGCATGGCTTGAAAGTTGTGGAGAATCACCGTATCTATCAGACAGTTGGCTTAAAAATTTAACTTCAAGTTATCGTGATAAAAAGAAGGAACGTGAACGTGACTCTGAATTAGCTCAGGCGAATATACAATTTTGGGAAAAACAGGTGAGCGTCGTTTTTTGTTTTGTTTATAGTGTTGCTTGTATAATTTACAATTTCAATAGTGATATAAGTGTAAAACTTGGGCACTGTGCTGGTAGAGTATAATTCCATTATGTTTAAGATTTTATTTTGTTAAACTGACACAGTGTAGTGTTGATGATGACCACGTTTCGAGCACAATTGATTGGAATGGGCGCAGCGATATATTGTAAATTCATTCAGACGTCTATAAAACACAAAATAATCGAGCAAAGAATATCCTTTTCGATAAATTCCTCTTCTGGCTCTACAATTATATATATATATATGTTTATATACATAGAATATTCTAGATTAGTGGTCAATAACAATATTAGTGTTTTTAAATAATATCGATTTGTAAAATAAGATCATAGTGGAATTACAGTTCATTAAAGATACTTGAATAATAATAATAAAGATATAGTAGCAAATAGAATATCAACTAAAATTAGGGAAATTGCACAAAAATTCAGGACCGTTCAAACCTAGATGGCCAAGGACTTCAGGTGAACATAGATAAAACAGAGGTGATGAAGATTCCTGGCCAACACCAACAGCAACAACAACAACAAACGGCAATCAGCATAAATGGGAGGAACCTGAAAGAAACAACAGCAAGCAGACGGAACTGACGAGGATATCAAAGCCAGAATCGGAAAAGCAACACAACCTTTCATTACTCTCAAGTCTGTGTGGAGGTCAACAGCACTCAGAATCAAAAATAATATCCAGATCTTCAACTCCAATGTGAAGTCAGTGCTACTATACGGATCAGAGACTTGCACTGCGCGTCATAAAGAGCATCTCAAACAAACTACAGACCTTCATTAACAGCTGTCTCCGCTCACTACTCAAGATGAGATGGCCGGCCAGAAAAGATCAGAAACAGGGATCTCTGGCAATGAGCGAACCAACCAGGAACCGATTGTGCAATAAATCTATAGGAGGAAATGGATATGGATTGACCATACGTTGAGGAAACCATCAAGTGACATCACTAGTCAAGCCATCGGTCGAGTGGAACCTAGCCGAAAGGGAAGCGGCGAGTTGGCCGTCAGTGCGAGGGTTACTTGGAGGTGATGTGAAGAGGAGATGAGAGCATGTGGGCAGACTTGGAGTGGGGTGAAAAAGTTGGCAGAAAACCGAAGACAATGGAGATGCGCAGGTGAAGGCCTATGTTCCTCTAGGAATTAAAGGATGTAATAATAATAATAATAATAGATGGCCGAGGTAAGGATGATGTCTGAACTAACTTCTTTTGGATGCATAAATTAGGCTTGTTAATATGGATCCCAACAGCCAACCTCAGCAACATTCAGTAGTCGAACTCTTAAGGCGTAGTTAAGATTCATCGGTATGCGGTAAATGACTCTGAAAGCTGCCTGGTTAACATCATACTTGTGTTCTGTCTCCACAAGATGAGACAGAATAGCGCTGTGAATAGATTTTGTTTGTCCTTTGCTTAACCAGCCACACAGGGTGATGTTCGGAAATTCGACGAATATTCTATGTATATTAACATACGTATGTGATTGTAGAGCCAGAAGAGGAATTTATCGATAAGAATATTCTTTGCTCTATTATTTTGAGTTTTGTATTGTAAATTGACAGGAATTAAAATTCATTAATCTTTGAATTATGGATGGCTAACACTCTCGCCTTGATGCTGAAGCAATGCAGTATAGATACTCCTTGACAGATGATGACAGCACAGAATCCATACCATGGTTTCTCGTATTGCTTTTTCAAACCAGTAATGAACAAGTGAGGACAGTAGTGCTAAGAAAAGGAGATACGAATATGTGTTTGACACTTTAATGAGTAATGGTATATCCGTATTATAATCTTGTGGATGAAGTTGATTAGTAAGTATGAGTGAGTTTGGAAATCTGTGACCGGGTGGGTACACCGTTGATTTGAGCTCGGCTTGAAATGAGCGGAACTCCAGTCTAGTATTTCAGTCACTTCAATGTAACTGGCTAGTAAGCAGCATTACTACTGGTTAATTTAAGTAGTATACAATTACTCATCCTAATAAATCAATAGTATGCGGAGTCATGCATTTATGTTTGCTTGCCTGCTTGCTTTATTGATTACCCTATAGGTGGTAACGACATTAGTAATTTCGGTTTCCATAGGAGAAAGAGACTGTGGTGTTAAAATTTCATCTGAAACTGTGTGTAAATTGTGACTTTTAAATACATCCCAGTTTCTGGTCATCCTTTTTGTGGAAATAATACTCAACTTGTTTATTATAGAATACAAAAAAAGAGGCTCATGATCTGCAAGTAGGCGTTTGTTTGTAATTGGTGTACTTGGTGAATAGAACTTTCGTGTTCGACGATGTGGACAGCTAGGAAAATATTGCTCTAAATACATTTAATCCTACTCCAAAAATATAGGGTGGAGATATATGTGGATGACATTTTCACACACACAGTGTTACAAAACAGAACATCTCTCTCTCTCTCTCTCTAGCTTTTTGACACATGCATAAACTCACTAGTAAAGGGAATAAAATTCACAAGTGAATCGGAAAATGAACAAGGAGAATTAGCCATGATGTTACATTGCAAAATAAAACGTATAGAAGAAGGCAAACCACACACTAGTGTTTATAAAAAACCAACGAATTCTAATAGATATTTAGACTTTAATTCATCACCTCATCCGTTAACTGTTAAGGCAGGCTTAGTTAAGTGTTTGATAAACCGAGCGAGCAATGGCAGTAAGTAGCACAATAAAAGATCAAAACGATGAAATGAAACCTATAGAAGAGGCGTTGGTATTAAATAACTATCCTATAAAATTCATTATCATAAAAGGTCAAAAGCAAAATAAAAACTCACTCAGAGACAAGCTCTGTAGGCTAAAAGATGTGGTGGACCTAATTAAACAAAATAATATAATTTACAAAATATCTTGCAATGACCTGAGGTAGTGGGTAGTCAGATTGTTGGAATATAAGAATTTAGCTAAGCTAAGAATGGTTGACGCCTAGAAGGTAAGTAATTTAGAAAAACGCTCAGTGATTGCACTGCATGCATTAACACACAATCACACAATAGGTTGGGAGAGGCTTAAAATTCTAATAAGTAATCTATGTAGGTGGAGAGAGAGATTGATTACTGAATCCTGGTTCATTGAGTCGACACCCAACAAATGCAATACAAGTGATCAGAGGTATGGAAAATATTATTACCACCAGCCTGTCAAATCAGAGGAGGATAATAAATAATCTCAAAATTCTATCTCAATTCAAACACATCACAACATTCTAACAAGTAACTTATTTTGGCTATGAAAACACCCGTCTTATTATTTCTGAATGTACATTATCCCATATTGATTTTTATTCCAATATCTGATCGATTCCACTCATGTATATAAATGAAGGAAAAATTTGTGTGAGCGGGTGACTTGATATGATTATGAGCAATAGTTTGTACTCGAAACGTAGTCATCTGTTAATATTGCTACAAAACAACACTTTGTGATTCATCAAAATAAAATTTTATCCACAATGGAGTTGTACTCTACCACAGTCGCCAAGGTTTTTACTTATCTGACTTGAGTCACATTTATTGTGTGAAGGTAAATTGATGTTGCTGTTCATTTGCCCAGCCTGAAGTATATGGAGCTAACTCGCTGTCTGTGAAAACCGTGTATTTAAGCCAGTGGGGCCACGGTTTCTCCTTAAGTGAGGCGAGGCGGGGAGGGGTAAGAGTATGCAAACAAAGTGATGCTAGTTCTTCCCTAGTTTTATTAAAGGGGAATCTGGTAAAATTAACCGGTTGGACAAGGTGTGACTATCATGTGTCAAAAGCTGTAATAGACTCTATTTGAACAAGGTTATTTTTAGTTAGAGTGATGATAGACTATCCCAGTATTATTTAGTTAGCTATTATTTACTTTCACCCATAAACACACACACGCTTGGCATTACGTAATTCGCTTCTTCTCAGTAAGGTTAGCTGATGATATCAACTGACCGTTCAGAATTTTGTTCTGTTCGGACTAGCGATTAGTTGAAAGACCAATGCCGTGATCAACAGGTGACAACTGCTGTGATGTTAGTACCATTCGACTCTTCACATTATTGCCATATTTGAAAATATTTAAAGTCTCTCGTACCTAGCATCAAGTAGCCGAGTTTTTCTCTGTATGTGAACCGTATAATTACTAAGCTTCTGACTGTAATACCGGGCATACAGTAGAAGCCAGTCAGGCTCTCAGTTCTTGGGGTACCTGAAACAGAGAGAGAGAGAGAGAGTTAGTGTTGCATGACCGCAGAGCACAGGGGACAACCACTTGATGCCAGCCACGCACGGCCTATATTAACTGGTTTCTTGGATTGATTCCGTGTTAGTAACTTACCGCCCAGGTTACGGACCATCGTAGGGTAAGTAGGGATGTACAGTTTTTGAAGTTGATCGTTTCTAACCCCCTCTCTCCAGAGTGGAGAGACAGCGTAGCTGGCTGGCATGCCGTTACATCTCTGTTCCCCAGCAGTATGACTTCGCCCACACACCCCCGGCATAGGCCAAAAGAATTCTTACACAATGCCGGTAACTGCTTTTAGTCTGATCGCTATCCTAACAATCTTCCTGGCATGGTAGGACGCGCAGGAACAATAGTTCCAGTCAGTGTAGCTTGTTGAGTCATTGGGATATTCAAACCCGACCACCAGGTCAAGGTAGCAGCTATCGGCCGGAAAATCTTCCGAATAATCCAGATACAGAGAAAACCCTGTCTGACTTCTCTCTGTTGAAACCATGGCCCTCAAATAAAGCCAGTAGCCGAGAGCTACACTACACTTAGTGTCTGGGGGCTTATGATACTGCTCAACTACCCAGGCCGCGGTAGATTTAGCGGTACCTAAACCCGTGACCACCGAATGCTTAAGCCAATCAGACACTTCGACAAAGCAGATGATACACGCTCCTTTTTTTAAATAACGCGCCATTATTGAAAAGTTTAATTTCATATTTAAATCCGTTTCACTTGTACACCCTCTTTTCTTTCTCTTTTTTGTAGCGTAATTTAGCTGAAAAAGAGCGTATTGACAATCTTGAACAAAGACTTGCTTGTTTGTTAAGAACTCCGCCTATCCTTGAAGATCCGTATTTAGTCCCCCAACCTATTCCTATTGAATTACCATATAAGCCTGCCAAAGTTAAAGAACCTAAAGTACCTAGTCTACCAGGTGAGCATTCAACTTGTATACTGTTTTCTGTGTGTATGCGTGTATGCATGTATGTATGAACGTGTGTACTATGTATCTGTATAGTTAATATGTTTGTATTGATCCAATTGGTATCAGGTTACTGCCGTCTTATTTTTCTAGTTTCTTGAGATATATATTGATTACAGGATTTCATCATGAGCTAACATAGTTTAGAGAACCATTGGAAAACCAACAGGGAGTACTGGACAGTCAGCTGTTTCGTCAGCCTAGTTTTGTACACTTCAGCAGTACGCACCCACCACAGGGGTTCGAACTCAGGACTTTCTAGTTACAAGGCTAGCGAGCTCATAGGCCATTAGGCTACTGGGACCCGATTCAATGACCAGTCCATGAATTCTAACTTGTGCCAATTCATGACACATAGTGCAATCACTTTGCAATGTCTTCTTCGGTGAGTTACTGCCTCACCTTCAACCTGGTGTACTCTACTGGTCGGTCACGGCTTCCCACTAGAATCCCAGGTAACTACCTACCTGAATAAGGCGGCCAGTCGCTAATGAGCATCTCATTCATATTCAAGCATTGGTTACTAACGATTTGATTGATTGGTTACAGGATTTCATCATGAGCTGACGTCGGTGGTGAACTGGCAGAATTTGGAATTCATAGGCTGGTCATTGGATCGGGCCCTAGTGGCTGAATAGTCTATGAGCTCGCTAGCCTTGTAACCGGGTCCTGTGTTCGAGTTCCAGTGGATGCGTACTGCTGAAGAGTCTCAAAATAGGCTGAAGAAACAGCTATCCCGTATACCTCGGTGGTTTTCTAATGATTATCTGTATATGCGTTCCGAGTGGAGCATTAGATTTCAAGCTCTAAGCTCTGAATTTTCAGCAGCGCTTGATTTGTTGTTGTGGGATGGGCGAGGTAGCTAGTCTAACTTCCTTGCAATCTTCCCTCTTTTTCATGCTTACACCCGGCTAGGTTAGATCTAAGGAGTGTGTCGGCTGGAGATCGAACTTTGATCACCTGCGTCGTTGGTAAACATTCTCCTCCTGAACCGCCAGCGATCTATATTTAGTTATTGGTATTAGTGATATGATTCCACTTTACATTAATACATAATTCTAAGCCGGTATCCTGAAATCAAGTTTGTAAGATCCTAAGTTTTAAAAAAAAAGTTACCTCTTGTCCATCCTTATAAGTATATTGTAGGTAGTATGGTAGTAGATTTGAGTAGCTATCGGACAGAAAGTCACTTCTATACGTTTACCTAACGAATGAATAATAATAATAGTAGGTATGGCACTTAATCACTAAGGTGTTGTTGATGATATTAGATGGATGGAGGCAATTGGCCACAGGAAGCCTCACCTGACCTAGGTTTTGTGCTAGTTGGCACTCACCAGTCAGTCAGTCAGTCAGTGATATGTATCCACATATATATATTTATGTGTGTGTGTGCATGTTGGTCTCTCTTTCTGTTTGCTCGGTTAGTCTGTGACCACTTCACTTGTATGGACTTGTCTCCTTTAATAATGTGTATTCTCCTTATATTATATTATATATAATATGAGTGTTTGTTGACAGTCCGTTGCTTGGTGACATATATCCATATATGTTTGTTGGCATGTCTGCTATATTCGCTATGTATAATTGGATCGACACTCCATTATAATTAGCCATTCATGTTAAGACTGTCTAATGATTTTTCCCACGCTTGTCTGAATTATTTATATATATTCGCATTCACAATTTGTGTGAACTACTTTACTTACTTACCACTTTGGTGTGAGACCATTTATTTTCGTCTCCTTGTGTTTGGACAATAGAAGTATCATCGCAAACCTAGTGGTCTTCTGATTTCCGCCTTCTCGCGTCAGGACTATTAGTTTCTCGACCAGTCCATAACAATAATTTAGCGACGAGTACATAACAATTTGGCGACGGGGAAAAACTACTATTAACCACACAGCAGCAACAACATAACAATTTACTATGGATCCTATTAAATTGGAATTATTGTTTGAACGACAAATGAAATTAATGGAAATGTTCGTCAACCAACAGACTGGTCCAGCTCCACCTTCAAGCAATCCCAATCATACCATGCTACCATCTGTCGACGGAATTGTGAACAGCATTTCACAGTTCAATTATGACCCAGAGGCTAATGTCACTTTTGACACATGGTATCAACGTTATGAGGATTTATTCACTGTTGATCTCGCCTCACAAGACGATGCCTGGAAGGTGCGAGTTTTGCTACGTAAATTGGGTCCGGCAGAATATGAACGGTACTGCAACCTAATTTTACCACAGAAACCACGTGACAATTGTTTCGATGATACAATAAAGTTGCTGCGTGAACATTTCGGAGACCACTCCTCATTATTCAGTATACGTTATCGTTGCCTCAAGCTGGCAATGAATGAAAATGATGATTTTCTTACTCACGTTGGCACAGTCAACCGAGAATGTGAGAGATTTCGACTCAGGTCCTTAACAGATGATCAATTCAAAGCCTTGATTCTCATATGCAGTCTCCAATCTCCTCGTTTCACAGATATCCGAACTCGACTGCTCAATCAGCTAGAACAAAATCCCAAGTTAACATTACATGACATAGCTGATGAATATCAACGGCTGATTAATCTGCAGAAAGACACACACCTGGTCGAATCAACACCTTCGAGAAGCTCTGATATTCGTGCATTACGAAAGAGCAAAAATCTCTCATCATCTACTCCTGACCCACCTACTTCTTCTAATGTCCCGCGGAAATCTATACATACTCGTCCAACTTCACAAAATACTGCAAAGAAGACCCCACCATCACCATGCTGGCATTGTGGCGCGTGGCACTTTGTAAAGTCTTGCCCATACAAAAATCATCGTTGCAGCAAGTGCAAAATCATCGGTCATAAAAATGGGTTTTGTCAGCCACGCCAACTCAGATATCATAATCCAGCAAAAGCTCAACAAAATGTCGGTCCTAAATCTCCAAAAAGATCACTGAGTCTACGTGCAACCTGTCAAGTCACAACACCAGCTATGCGGAAATATATTGACCTTCAGATGAATGGTCATGATACTCGTCTGCAGCTAGATACTGCCTCTGATATTACTGTTATATCAGAGAAACTTTGGAATTATATTGGCAGACCACCTATCACCAATACTTCCCAGTCTCTTCTCAGCGCCTGTGGTGGGCGGCTCAAACTAATTGGTGAACTCAAATGTTCTGTTTCCTTCCGCAATACCAAATTCACAGGAATTTGTTACGTCACGAAGAATGATTTAAATGTTTTGGGACTTGATTGGTTCGATCGTTTGCATCTGGCTGATGTCCCACTAAATTCTCTACGCAATACAGTGAAGAAGCATAAAATGCTAGACAATTCCGGACGGAGCCGAAGCCGCAAACCCAACAATCAGACGAAACGACAGGCGTCAACAACAAGCCCAAAGGTCCCAGATAAACCCCCAGGTAAACATCCTACTAATCATTCATCTTCTCAAAAGGGGAGGTGATATGTATCCACATATATATATTTATGTGTGTGTGTGCATGTTGGTCTCTCTTTCTGTTTGCTCGGTTAGTCTGTGACCACTTCACTTGTATGGACTTGTCTCCTTTAATAATGTGTATTCTCCTTATATTATATTATATATAATATGAGTGTTTGTTGACAGTCCGTTGCTTGGTGACATATATCCATATATGTTTGTTGGCATGTCTGCTATATTCGCTATGTATAATTGGATCGACACTCCATTATAATTAGCCATTCATGTTAAGACTGTCTAATGATTTTTCCCACGCTTGTCTGAATTATTTATATATATTCGCATTCACAATTTGTGTGAACTACTTTACTTTACAACTACTTTACTTACTTACCACTTTGGTGTGAGACCATTTATTTTCGTCTCCTTGTGTTTGGACAATAGAAGTATCATCGCAAACCTAGTGGTCTTCTGATTTCCGCCTTCTCGCGTCAGGACTATTAGTTTCTCGACCAGTCCATAACAATAATTTAGCGACGAGTACATAACAGTCAGTCAGTCAGTCAGCAAGGCGTATCTGCAACCTTGAAGGAACTCATATCGCCAGCCCGAATAGTTCAGTGGTAATGTCTCTGACTGCAGGCGACACTGGGTGACGCGGGTTCGAATCTCAGAAAGGGGACATGAGTTCCTTCAAGGCAGTTGCAGATACGCCTTGCTGACTGACTGGTGAGTGCCAACTGGCACGAAACCTAGGTCAGGCAAGGCTTCCTATGGCCGATTATCTCCAACCATCTAATATCACCAAATCAATGTACTTCGTGATGGCGAGCTATCTAGAATGGTGGCCACATTGCAAACCTGTCTGATAGAATTTAGTCTCCACGATAGGTAGGACTAGACATATCACACTAGTTACTTAGTGGCGAATCAAATATTTTGTTGAGTTTTATATTCAAAAGCCTTTTTCTGCTGTTGTATGTCCTATGAACAGTTAAACCAAACAAGGAAAACCAAGAGACGGTCACATCGAAGAACAATGTCTCAGTGAAGTCCACCAACTAGTCTATACATTTCTAAATACATGTAACAGTGGATAGTGAAAGTCCCAGAGGTCAAAATATAACAGATAACGCGATCAAGTTGCGTATCAAAGGAAATAGAGTGGTTATAATGATCATGGCAGTAACAAAGGTTAAGTGTACTTCTTTTGGATAAACAGTATTGGCTTCAGCTATGCCCCAGATATCTTGATCTCTCACTCCCTTTAAGAGATTGGATCGGATCTGATACTATAAAACTTTAAAGAATTTCCCAAGTGAAGCTTATTGTGTCATAAGTTCACAAGGTGTTCTGGTTTTCTAACTATAGACATTCTTCCGTTCCTTCTTCGGTTAGCCAAACCATGTAGTGTTTACGAGCACGTTTCCTTCACTGCACGATGATACAGAGGATTGAATGCAGTCGTTGAATTGCAACCCAGTGGCCTTGAATGGTCAACGAGCTGGTATTGATTATAACCCAGAGTCTCCGGTGTTTGATCTCTAGTGAGGTTGAGTGTGCGCTCAGTGCTGAAGAGTCCCGATTTAGGGCGAAACATTTATCCCGTACTTCCTCGTGGTTTTCAGTGATTCCTTAATTAATGTCGGTTAGTGACGAAATCTACACGGAAATTAGTGAAAATAACTACAGAACCAAAATGTGCTATATACAATTATTGTTAACAAAGGACGTACATAAATTAGGCCTGATAAATTAGGATCCCCCTTACTTCACACTTTTAATTTTAATTTCTTGTTTTCTCCTTCTTTCAGTTTTAACTGCACCTCAATTAGCTGAGGTTGAAGCGGCTCTTCGTAGTGGCTCTCCAGATCAGGTGTTAGCAGATAAATTCAGATTGGTTGTTACACGTCGCGAATTAATGACGTTGAGCGGTACAAATTGGCTGAGTGATATGGTTAGTTTACCAATTTGTTTTTTTCTTTTTTGTGATGTATATGTGTAGAAGCGTTTTGATGTGTATTCTTGTAAAATATTCCGTGTTCTCTCATAATTTTCGCCTAAATTAATAATCGATAATATATCGATTGACAGATATTCACGTGACCTTTATTCAAATACAAAATTGGCACATTGTGGACACCAGTGAAATTACTTTAATGTTCGTGAGACTGCTTTTAGTGTCTAACCGCTATCCAAACAATCATCTTGACACAATGTAGGATGTGCAGGAACATAGGTCCCAGCGGGTGTAGCTTGTTGTATCACTGCGGTATTCAAGTCCGACCACCACAACAAGGTAGCAGTTGTCGGCTGGTTGTAATTAACTAACTGATCTCCAAGACTATCGGGGGTGGGTGGGGTGCGGTTTCGTTCAGAAAAGTAATTACAATGTCATATTTCTTTATTCGCTTTTCTGTTTTACACTTTTGCGTGCACTAACTGTGCTTCATTTATCACCCACTTTATATGCAACTCTTAAGGTGTTGTTCTGTAACTTATATACGCATCCCTTACAATAGTATTTCGAGGCGAACTTTGACATCTTTGCCTCTGGTGGTCTGTTTGCTTTCCATCTGTGATTTGTCGGATGTCGGTCGAAGAGCAGGTGTACTGCGCACGCGAACACACACAAACCAACACTAACACACTCATATTCACCGATATACACAAAGAAGCACACAGTTACCCTGAGTCAAATTCACATTCACTCTGACACACATGCACACATACACACTGTCTCTCTCTCTCTCAACACTTACACAACATCCACGTCAAATGAACGTGCGACAGTCTACGCTGGTTCCAACTGCATACAACATTTCATGTCGTCATTCCATATAACTGGCGAAAATACATCGCTAGTCGTCGCCTAATCTCATATCGTCACATTTCATTCGCCGGTTGACTGAAGGGAACAGACGGAGCAAAGAGGTACCAGCACATCATCGACAACCGAGGAATAATTCAATTATTATTATTGTTTCCTTTAATTCCTAGAGGAACATAGTCCTTCAGCCACGCGTCTCCATTGACTTCGGTTCTCTGCCAACGTTTTCACCCTGCGCCAAGTCTGCCCACATGCTTTCATCTCCTCTTCACATCACCTCCAAGTAACCCTCGCACTGACGGCCAACTCGCCGCTTCCCTTTCGGGTTCCACTCGAGCGATGACTTGACTAGTGATGTCATTTGATGGTTTCCTCAGGGTATGGCCAATCCATCTCCATTTCCTCCTATAGATTTATTGCACAATCGGTTCCTGGTTGGTTTGCTCATTGCCAGAGATCAATCCCTGTTGCTGATCTTTTCTGGCCGGTCATCTGATCTTGAGTATTGAGCGGAGACAGCTGTTAATGAAGATCTGTAGTTTGTTGGAGATGCTCTTTATGACGCGCAGTGCAAGTCCCTGATCCGTATGGTGAGTAGCACTGACTTCAGATTGGAGTTGAAGATCTGGATATTATTTTTGATGATGAGTGCTGTTGACTTCCACACAGACTTGAGAGTAATGAAAGGTTGTCTTGCCTTTTCCGATTCTGGCTTTGATATCCTCGTCAGTTCCGTCTGTCTGTAGTTGAAACGATGCTTCTCAGGTAGGTGGGTAGGTAAAGGAGGTTGTTTCTTTCAGGCTCCTCCCATTTATACTGATTGTTGTCTGTTATTTTCGCTGTTTTCCAGGGATCTCCACCACTTCTCTTTTCTCTATGTTCACCTGAAGTCTTATATTCTCTGGATGCTTCTTCTGCGAACTTGTTGCTTTTCCCTTGCATATCTTCCAGTTTGTGGGAAATCAGACATATATCATATATATATATATATATATATATATGATTGAGCAATAATGCAATAGAACTTCTGAATGATTCGTTAAAATAAAGAATTCATCGAATAAGAAATCTGTGGGTGAGTAAGCCTGTCTATCAGTCACTGTAGGCAGTTCAGTGGAGGACTGATTTATCACCTAGCAGAATCGGTGCAGCAGTTTGTCGTGATCTTTCAAATATGAAACTTAGTCGTTGAAAGTGGAGGATGGGAAAAGATTATTAGTCTTTGACTGAAGGTTAAACATACATTTTTAGGTATGAGAGCAAAATGAATCGGTCATGTTGGAAAGTTGTATCGAGTTGAATATCCAGGACATGTGTTGCACACACGCTATACTCTCACCCTCTTCGTCAGACAATGCATGTTGATATAGGATAGAGTTAGAAGGGGGTCAAACCAAAACTCGGTATCGATTTTATGTGAAGTTTTTGACTACTGCTTTGAGTGATGTAGTCGGCGGGGGGTGGGGTGGGGTGGGGCTCGGATGTTAAGAATCAGTAGTTGTAGACTGTTTGGTGGCTTGGTATGGCTCAAAATCATTCTGAGTTCCTCTGCATTCTTTTTCTTCTATATCTTTGTCTATGCTTTTATGAAGTGTGTCAACTTGGAGTGCTACACACGCTTTGTGCAAGGTGCTGAGATGAAAATTCAGTTCAGTTCATTGTTAAACTCTGACTTTTATTTATTTAAATTACAGGTAATAAATTTCTACTTGCAGTTACTGCAACATCGAAGTCAACGTCAAAAAAATCTACCTCGTCTCGCTGTCTTATCAACATTTTTCTATGCAAAATTGACATCACCAAATGGTGGAGGTTATCCTGGTGTACGACGTTGGACTCGTCAAATGAAATTATTTGATCAAGATATTGTACTTGTCCCAATTCATGATAGAGGCATGCATTGGTGTCTGTCTGTAAGTGAAATTGAAGTGAAGTGGCATTTTTAAGATCTGTTTGACCTGTCTACTGAACCTACTTTAATGCCTTTGATTGGTTTGATTCATGGTTAAAGGTATTAGTTGACTACCACTCACTTTTTTTGTAAATAGTCTAACTGTCATTAATTAATTAATTATTGTATTTCAGTAGTCAGCGGACTAGTCACGTAAATTTAAGGCCCTTCATACGATCTCCGGTATGGTCATGAGTGCATACCGCTGAAAAGTTTCGAATGGGGACGAAGTAGTTGTCCAGCAGTCCCTGGTCTTGTGCGTTTCTGCTTTCGTGATAGAACGCTTACCATCAACGCAGGAGGTCGACTGACACACTGATAAACCGCACCAAGCTGGCAGTAAATCCAGAAAAAAAAGGAAGACTGGACATGAGGCCAACAACCCTCCCTAACCCGTAAAAACACAGCTACTGTTATGACGAAGTGATGCTGAGTTAAGGGTTCGTCTAACTTAACTAGAAGATGCCTTCTGAACACAATACGCAAATTAACTGATCACTTAAAAATATCTCCCATGCTGAGGTACACACAAAAGAAGGTCAGATTAGGAGAAGTGACGACTGGAATAGTGACAATAACAGCAGCAACAAAGTGCAATATATAAATCCTCAGGATTTTTAGCTTTAGATAAATGAGCATACTGTTGGATAACGGATAAGAAAAAGAAAAAAAAAGAAGAAATATCAGACATTATTGAGCCACTCAAGCAAAATAACTACCCAAAGAACTTCATCAACAAAATCAACACTGACATTCACTATGGTCGAAAACGTATTCCGAAAACATGGACCTCAACAGTTGCCATTCCATATAGACCATTAGATACGTCAGACGATATCAGAAGAGTACTCAATAAGCTGGACATCAGAGTTTTCTTCAAAACATTAGACACACTACAAAGCAATCTTGTCCATGTAAAAGACCGAATCCCTAAGGATTCTCCATCTAATTGTGTCTTCTAAATAAAATGCTTTGAATATGATGCGATATACATCAGGCAAACATCGCCAGGGAGAAATCAAAATCAGAAGAAATGAACACTGTAGAACCACCTCTACTAATAGACCACCGAGAAATCCAGTTGAACTAGAAAGGCTTGAAGAATCACCAGCCACAGGTCGTCTACACGCTATAGAATCAGACCACAGAATTGGTTTTGACAATGTTGAAATCATCAACCAGAAAAACTTCGGAAATCACAAAGAACGTCTCACATCATCAGAAGCCAGCCATTCATATCAAATGGAATCTGAATTGTCTGAATAGGAATGAACGGTTTAGTAGAAGTGTACTTGACCTGGTTACAACACTCCCTTCCCTGTCGCATGAAATAAAAAAATCAATACGAATGTGTGATAAGCAATTTCATTATGCAAACACACGCTGCACACACACTTATCAAATCCACTTGGTTTTGTTATCTTTACCAAATGGCCAATTTGACAACGTGAAAATGATCCTATGCTGAGGAACGATGATTAAGTTGTCATATATAAGCTGGGTGGATTTTGTAAATTCTGGTTTAACAATACTTTGATACAGGCTATTAGCAGCAGCATTAATGAATAGCGAAACGTCAGTAAAAACAATAATATCGTTTTGCTCTTTTTCATTCATTCATTGGGAAACATAAAAAAATCTTTATTATAATAAATAAATAAAGGAATCAGTAGTCTCCGGTATGGTTGTACCAACAGAAGACAAGGGCCAGGTAACAGATCGTTTATTTACGAAATCAACACATATTTATAGATTTTCATGTACATTATTATAGATTATTGTTAGCAGAAAAACACCGTCTTCTGATTGGTTGTTTCTCACTGAAACTTAATCTTTCATCTCTTTGTAACTGTTTCTTGAATGTCAGATCATCTATATGTTAACTGTATCCGCCTACGCAAAGCCTTTGTTCTCATTTTTCTCACGACCAATATTTGGGACATAAAAATTGACCTTAATTAATGTCTACCGATTTGGCCAGCAGCCAGCGCTCACCACATGTTTATCGTGTCAATACACGCAGAAATCATAACTCCACAGCTGTAACAGAAAAGACTTGTCTGTTCTAACAACTACCTTCACTGAAACGTCAGAGCTTGATACCCTATGTTCCACTTGAAATGCAAGAGAATGAGAAAATCACTTCGTTATGTCTCGTTGATAGCTATACGAAGACTTCACAACCAGAACATTTTTAAAATAGAACTGTAATCAAGTCAGTTTAATAAAAAAAAAATACCGTGTGATATTAAGGTACCAAGGATCTTATTCGCAAAAGTGTCACACCATCTGCCTAACTAAACCTATTTCAGTTTAGAATGCGGCGTAGTCTACCAAAGCTGTAACCACTTTAGTTCCCGCCAGTGGTTGCTGTGTCAAAACTTCGTTTTGCCTTCCATACTCCAGTTTTTGAATTGTACTCAGAGTAATCATGTGCATACTTTGGTATGTAAGTTATGGCACGTCTTTAAATAAGACGATTGCAGTAGACACAAGAGTATTGAATCGATCCCATTCGTAGTTGAAATCAATACTATTTCTATATGGGCCAGCAACTTGCACTGCGTGTGTGTGTCACTAATTAAATTTCTAACAGCCAGCTGCTCACTTCGCTGACTCCATATTGAAGATCTAATGGCCAGCCGACCGGGCCGGCCAGAAATAATTAGTAACAAGAAACTCTGACCGCGAACAAACCAACAAGCAAGATCCGAATGCTCAACAAATATGTGGGAGAAAATGGAGATGGATTGGGTAGACACACACGTTAAGGAGCCGTCGAATGACATCGCACGCAGTACTACAGGTCATTGCTCGAGTGGAAGGTAAATGGGAAACGACGAGAGGGTCGTCCGTGCGAGGGTGCCATGGACGAGATTGTATGAGTTGCAGGAGGAGATGAGAGATTGTGGTCAGTCGTGGAGCTCTGGCCAGATGAAGAGGACCGCAGAAAATAGAAGAAAGTGGAAATGTGCTATTGAAGCCCATCTATGTTCTACCCGGAACCCAAGGGAATAATAAACAACAATATATTTTCAAGTATTGGTTTTGTAGGGATTTTGTTTTGATTGCATCGAGGAGGAGGCAGTAACTCATCGAAGAAGACATTGCGAAATGGTCGCGCTATGCCGTGAATTGGCAGAAGTTAGAATTCATGGGTTGGCTGGCCATTGGATCGGGTCCCAATGGCTCAATGGTCTATGAGCTCGCTAGCCTTGTGACCAGAAGGTCCTGGGTTCGAACTCTGGTAGTAGGTGTGTACTGATGAAGAGTTCAAAACTAGGCTGACGAAACAGCTGGCTGTCCAGCACTCCAGTGCTGGTTTTCAATGGTTCTCTAACTGATGTCATTCGGCTCATGATGAAATCCTTCATGCAATAATACATTTAATAACCAATGATTGTATAGTTCATGTTCGCCTATAAGGTATAAACAATTTATAACTGCCTCAAAATTAATCAAGCTCACTCATCATTTTCACCTCCAACTAGTCGGAATCTACTGGCATGGTGGAGATAGGATTTTGTATTAGGTTTTCATTTGATGAAGGCATGGCCTGCATGACCAGAGGAGTGTCCTTCACCCGGTCACGTTTGCAACCAGTTACATTTGCATGCTAGTGGCACTGCCGCCTTTAAATGGCAGTGAGTTGACAGCAGTTGGATTCGTTGTCCACTCTTTGAATCCTGATCCGCGTGATGATCTGATGATGATGATGATGATGGTTCTGAGTTTGATCTCGTTTGGTAGGGTAGGAGATAGACATAGTCACTGACACTGCTAATTGCTGGCTCACATAGTTGAGATCAATTCGCGACGAAAATCACCTGACAATTTTAACTGCACTGTCAGCTTATAAACTGCTTAATGTAATTTATAATTAGACTTCTTTCTGTCTAGTGCTCATAGTGACTAGAGGTAGAAGCTATTAGAATGCGGTCAACATTTCTTCATGTATTGATCTGATCAAATATTTTGTAATATGTCCTCTTGTACATATTATATGCGTGTATCTTTTTATAATAATAATAATTATTATTATTATTTTGCTTATCTCATTGCTTTCAAGTGTATTGATTTACGCGCCAAAAGTATAACATATTATGATTCAATGGGTGGGGGAAATACAAAGTGTTTACAACAGTTGATGTAAGTTTGTGTTGATGATTCTTTTTTCTTCATGCTTTTTCCTGGTGTTGGTTTTATTTTTGTCGAGATTTTGTTTGATTGGTTGAAGGATTTCCTCATGAGCTGACTGACATCAGCTAGAGAACCATTGGAAAACCAGCCACAGGTTGTATTGGATAACCAGCTATTTCGTCAGTCTAGTTTGGGACTCTTCAGTAGTAAGCACTCACCACAGGGGTTCGAACCCAGGACCATCTGGTTACAAGGTGAGCTAGCTTGTAGACCATTAAACCATTGGGACCCAATCCAATTACCAGCCCATGAATTCTAACTTATGCCAGTTCATGGAATAGTGCGACCACTTTCGATGAAGTGTCCCAAACTGGGACGAGACAGCTGTGCAGTACTCCCAGGTTTTCCAATGGTTCTCTGACTGATGTCAGCTCATGATGAAATCCTCCAAATTGTAAAATAATTATTTATTATTTGGTTTTGAGAAAACAAAAACTTGGTGGTACATTGTGGATACCAAGAGATGCGCCACACAAAATCTTGCAGTTCCTCCAATGGCTGGGATATTGTCCGGACGTCCATTCAGGCACAGATGGTTGTCTTAAGGAATCACTCCTTGAGCCTTTGAATTAAAGTTTGATTGACAAGGAGAGATATATTCTCATGGCTGGTGGTGACTAGTATACGTTAATCTGCCTTTCGATCCGTTTGGATTCTGGAGCCCATGTACACCATAGGTTTGGAATTAGGGGTTTCCAGCTCCCCTAGTCGACTTCGATGTCCACCAGTCCAGTTGTGTAAGCGCCAGACGTTCCTATTTGCGTTTCCACCTTTGTTAGGGACACCACGTTGGTGTGAAGGCATCGAATAGAGCGCTTGGCCACATGAAAAGGATTTAGGGAGGAAGACTCACTCTTAACCATCCTACGTCGCTTATGGGGGCATATAAAACAATGTCATTTTGACATTGTAATCATCTACCTCCAAATTTACTAGCCCAGTGCTTTATATCGACGGAGTTAGAGGTCCCTACTTTGCTGCTAACCAGTGTGGTTATTATATTCACTGTGATGACCACTGTCTGCCTATTATCAAGCTAATTGTTTACAATCAAGTTGTTTTCTGTCAATCTTAATCATTCATTCACATGGTAGGTAGGCCATTACCCGTGTTGACTGCCGTTAAATGAAGACCTGGTTAGCACAGTTCAGTGACGACGTAGAGCAGCTGTGATATAACTTGGGATATTCATTATTCACTGCCTTCACATTAGGATATTCTTCACAAAAGTGAAAGCGTGAATGTGAACCTCTGGTACTGCTTACAACCGAACTGGTGGACATACAGATCTACCTGGCTAGAGGAGCTGGAAACGTTGATTCCTTACCTATGGTATACATGGGCTCTAGAATCCAAATATGATTGAATGGTATATGAACCTACCTTGGTCACCGGGATCCATGGGAACATGGCTCTTGACACTACCCTCTTCCTTCAAGTCGAAGGCTCGGGAAGGAGGGATGGCCCTTTAATTTGGGCGTTGGCGCAATATCCCAGCCTTTCGCACAAAATATAAGACTGTATGGCGCATCATTTGTCGCCAATCATGTACCAAGTGTGTGAATGTGTGCGTCGGTGGCACAGTGGTTAGGACTCTCGCCGACCATGCACATGGTCCGAGGTTCGATCCCCTGCCGACGCACGCATACCTGATATTTATGGTCGGCCTGCGAAATATGGGCTACCGATATCCATGCTGAAAATTCCATACTTGTACCGAAAATACGGTGAGAAATCAAGCTGTAAATAAAAATAAAACAGTGGATAAATAGAGCTCAGGACTGGTTCGGATACTCTTGAAGGCCAGATTTTCATCTCACCTTCACACGTCCATTCCCTCACAACTGTAGTCGTCTGTCAGCGGAAAACTAAAATGTTGTTACAATTCCCTCGGCCTACGATTCTCTATCTAATTCGGTAGGGGAATCATATCAATCAGCCTTGCAAGTGTGCCTAGTGATCTAAATGACACACAGATGTTTCCATACTTCTGTTCTGATAAACTGTAGTTTGATATCTCATGTTATAAGGAATCAGTCAGTAGGATATTGTGATGGAGGTGAGATGGATGGATTCATCAGATAAACGTGTCTTCAACTAAAAAATGTTTAGGGAAACTCTTATTTGAGTGCATCCTTTGACAGATTCTGAAACATAGGCATACTTACCACTGGTGTCCAACTATCGTCATATATCTTGACACAAAGACGGCATTCAATTCTGTCGACCGAGAGGTACTATGGCGATGGTTAGCTGTGAAGAGAATGCCGAGAAAATGTATTGCATTGATCAAGGCACTCTACTTGAACTTATGTAGTCGGCGAGGTGAGAACCTACGGCGTGCTGTCATCTAAAGTGGTGACAACCAGTGGTGTTCGTCAGGGATGCCCACTATTCCCATTTCTATCCCATTTCATCATAGATATACTGACGGAATTAACCCTAACTCACTTCAGAGACTTAGGGATTGACTTGTTACTGCCAGGGGATAATCTTGTTGACTTAGAATATGCAGACGATGTAGTCCTTTTAGGCGAGGACGCTGACAAAATCCAGTCTTCTGAACACATAGAGCTGCAATCTACGTATGTTTAGCATGCGATTCGCTCCGGCCAAATGTAAGATGATGTTACTGGACTGGACTACACTGACTCCTAGCTCCCACTTCACTTATTTGGGAATTCGCATCAGCCAACCCCAGCGGATTGATCTCTGACGAAATCTCAACACGGATACAGAGGGCTAGTTTCGCATATGCCAGTTTACTCCATCTCTAACCTAAGTAGTCTTGATATCCGGCTTTCGAGCAAAGGGCGTGTGTACTGCTCAGCAGTCCTCTCCGTCTTTCTTTATGCCTGTGAAACATGGTCATTGAGGACGGAAGACATGAAAAGGCTAGCTATTTTTCTTTGATCTTAGGTGCCTGCGTTCTATCTGCCGTGTGAAGTGATATGGTGTGGTAAGCAATATTGAGGTCAAGCTTTGGTCGAGTGCTGGGTAGGTAAGGAGGAGAAATCAATCGACAAGGGTGTGAAGCTACGTCGACTGAGCGAAACGGTTGGGGCATGTGTTACACATGCCTAGCCATTGCCTTCCTTGACAACGAGCAGTGTTAGCTGACATCGAATGGATCAGGTTGGAAAAGAGCGCGTGGTGGTTAAACCAAAACATGGCACAGATGCTTCCACTTCTTGTGACTTATAATATCCAATAAAACTGTATTGTTCTTCGATATTACTATTCTTTTTGCCTCTAACTAAAACATGGCTTCATCAGTCAATGAAATCTACAACATTTAGTTTAAGCCAGCCACGTAGGAATGTGTAGACTGGCTTCCATGTTGGGGTCCTCATGATGGTTAAAACCGCAGGTTGGAGACAATTACAAATTAAAGCTTTTTGTTATTTTTGTTTTATTTTTTGAACTAATAACAACATGCGTGATATTCATTGTAATGTGGTAGTACACATTTTGAACAAATCAATAACGGTATAAGACCACATGATGGTGTGCAGGATAAAACAGATAGCTACCATTGTGTTTATTTCATCGGTATCAGGTCAGCTGTGCATATAACCTAAAATGATGAGATTTCATAGTCAGTTGTTAGTTCTATTACAGTTTTAACAATGCACTTAAGTTCTTGGTTGGGCACTAGTTAGTAAGCAGTGTACTGCTCAGCTGCAGTTCGCTCCGGCCTTCTCTATGGCTCTGAAACGAAACATGGCCAATACGAGTTGAAGACATGAAAAGGTTGACTGCTTTCGATCATAGATGTCTGCGATCTCTGTCTCACGTTAGATGGTATATAATAAGGTAAGTAATGTTGACGTTAGGTGTAGTGTTGGGCAAAGAGGGAAAATCAATCGATGAGGCCATAAAGTTACATAGATTGAGATGGCTAGGTCACGTGCTGCGCATGCCTCCCCCGACGGGCATTATTAGCCGGTATAAGTGCAGGTTGGAAAAGAGTAAGTGGTGGGTGGCCAAACAAAAACATGTCATCAATCCATGTAATCCTTGACAGTTAAACTGAGTCAGCATGTAGGGAGATACAGACTTCCGGGTTGGGACACTCGGGACTCTAGGAATCAATGGTTGGAGACAGTAGGTGACATGGCTCAAAATCGTTGTCAATGGCCAGCGCAGATGTATTCAGTCTCTGTAATCTTTCATATTCCTTTCTACCATTACCCATTCTGTTTCACTCTTATACTTGTCAGACTGTATTGATTCTCTTCACTCATCTTCTTGTCTACCTCTGTGTGCTATTTGGAACGTGGCAACTCGAACTGGTGCACTTCGGTGCCAAGTTCTATGTTGAATCCAGACAGACAGACAACCAGTGTTGTCACGCGTCTGGTCCTTTGATTGGTGCAGACACTGAATTTTACTATCAGTCCAGTTTGCAGTGTGGCCATCAAGCCACTAGGCGGCTGGCCATTATGATGCACTGTGAATTGTTGATGTTAGATAGTTGGAGACAATCGGTCACAGGAAGCCTCATCTGACCTAGCTCTCGTGTTAGTTGGCACTCATCAGTCAGCCAGCAAGGCGTATCTGCAACTTCCTTGAAGGGACTAATGTCCCCCTTCTGAGATTCGAATTCACGTCACTCAGTGCAGCATGCAGTCAGAGACGTTGCTATTCATTCATTCATTCATTGGGAAATACAAAAACCTTTATTATAGTGAATATAAACATATATAAATTCTCAAACTATTTTTCTTTTGTTATTTTTCAAGGGATTATTTAAAAAATGAGTCCTTAGACAAAAGAAATCTTGAACTCCCGGATTCAGACTCTTGGGAATTCATCAACACGGAGGTGAGCAACTGACACTTGCTTTTATATTATGTAATTTGTAATCATCAGGGTGTATGGAGTGTTACTCAGTCTCATGATATGTGTGTGTGTGTGTGGCATGATGTATTACACTGTGTTGTTAAATTTTTCTTGAGTTATCTGAGTCACATAGTTTTTAGACAGCTTCTCTGTCTTATTTGGTGGTGGTTGGTAACTGTCAATGGAGTCTGGCATCCTCGTGTCGTCTCATTCGAGACTCATCATCTGTTGCGAGTGATAATTTTCCTTTACTGAAATTCGAACCCAATTTCCTTCTTTTTAAACGTCAGTAAGTTATTCAGTAAACCACTTGAGGGGACAATGGGGGGATAACATCATCAATGTTAATCCACAGGCATCGTCGAAGCGCGTCCCTACTCGAAGCCGAACATTTCGGTTAAATCAGTCAACTTAAAAAAACAAAATAAGTTTCTGCTTATATTCGTCTGAAAATACTACTCATATTGTGGCGGGGGCCGCCCGCAAGCCAAAAATTATAGACATCTGCGATTTGCCTCAATGTTCACGTCCCGAATCAGAGTTAATCTTGAGAAAATCACCAGGCAATCAGAGTGGAGTTAAAGTGTGGAAAAAATGATTCACAGATATATTATGGCTTGATTTTTTGAGAAATGGCCACAAAGAGTAGATCACTGACTCACCCGTTGACAATTTGGTGAGTCCATTCCCGTTCCATCTGCTTTCACATATTCCCAGTACTTGGATTCCGTATCTTTTCATCTCGTTTGCGATCTGAGCAGCTTTGCCAATCTCGTACATAGTGTGGACGTTCCATGTCCCCACACAGAATTTTTCTCTTTTGGCGCAAAGAGATTCATCGTTTACAGGGTGGGGTTGCTAGCCTCACGCCTGATAAAGGAATTGTTACATTAAGATAAAGTTTAAAGAGAAGCGACCTTGTCGGTTGCTCTCCTTAAAATCGGAAAACAAGGGATAAAACAATCAGAACAACACCAGGAAAAGGAAAATAATTCACAACAGAAAGGGCAACAAGCGACAACAACATGCAATACAATTAAGCACAGTTAACTAAAATGATGTCAAAACGATAGACTCACTGACTTGGACCAACTTGAACATATAAATCCGACAATATATACAATTATAGATATGTTAGTGTTAAAAGGTCACAAAATGTCAAAAAATACTTTGTTATAGGTATAAGTGATATTATATCAACAGGTTCAGTGTTCGAAGTAGACAGATTGTAATTAACATCCAGAACTTCGTAGTGAGATACAACAAAGAAATGAGAGTTTTATATATACAACAACATACAATACGGTTAAGCACGGTTAACTAAAATGTTACCAAACCATAGACTCACTGAGAGATGATAGAATAATCACCTTTAGCAAGAAAACAACCAATTAGAAGAGGTTGCTTCTCCGCTAACAATAACGCTAATAATAATGCACATAAAAATGTTTAAATACCTCTTGATTTTCTCAATAAACAATCTGTTGCCTAGCCCTTGTCTTCTGTCGTTACAACATAATCATAATTCTGTTTTACTGTTGACAGAAGAATGTAATCTTACTGTAATATAGTGTACAGGTGTTTAGTCACGTATTAATTCACATATCCGGATTGAAATAGTTATAATATTAGTGAATGTAGTTGACAGGTCTGTTGATAAGATTCGGCCTAGTGGTTAGGATTCCTGGCTCTCATCCAGGCGGCCCGGGTTCGACTCCCGGCGCGGGAGCGCTTTTATGCGTCGGTGGCATAGCGGTTAGGACGCTCGCCAATCATGCACATGGTCTGGGGTTCGATTCCCGGGCGACGCACTCCTTTACCTCGCTAAGCCAGAAATACTGCTGGTAAAGAGGAGAGGTTGGGTATGAGGCTATAGCAACCCCATCCTGTAAAAAATAAACACTGCTACAGAAACTTAAAGCCACTAGCTTGAAGCCCCGATGTTCCACTGAGGAACGTGAAGGAAAAATTATTATTATATTATTATTATTGTGATCAGATGACCTTGGTTGACTGTAAAATTCCATTGCCTTTCTGTTACCTTGGTCTTGGTCCAATCTTCAACCAACAGCCAATCAGAACATTATTTTCTGCGAACCTAATCGAATCGCCTACCTCTCCTAACACAGAACAATATATATATTTTTTACTGTCCTAGGCAGATGGTAATTTGATTAAAAATAAACATGACGTGCCTTTTTCCAAATAGAAAGTACAACTGTACAGGCCACCAGTTTGTGCCTTTTAATGTTTACTTGGCTCAGTGAAACGGATGCTACTAAGGTCGAGTAGAGGTATGTTTAGCATATCAGTTGAGTTGTCTGTTCAGTCAGTGTTATTCCACTCGGTCATATCATCTGTCAGTTGGATCATAGTAAACTGGCGACATAGATCATAACATCTACCGATTAAAGTTATTTTTTAATATGATCGACTTGCTTTATTTGATTCCATTACACGTTCTGAGTGGAACATAGGATTGTGAACCTCATACCCAATCTGCCGCCTTCACTGCATTTCAATCTGTCTAACCGAGGTTAAGGTGTACGTCAACCAGGCATGGAACTACAGACCGCGTGCGTGATTGGCGAGTATGATCAACTACTGGGTTAAGTAATACACAATACCTTATTTTGTTATAAGATGTTGAAGTTTAATCGATAGACTACAATTTCAGCCTTAACCGTTACTTCTAGTATAAATTTCGTCACTAGTGTATGCTAGTTAGAGAATCACTAAACACTGGATAACTGCCTCAACCGCAACAGAGGATGGGATCCAGCACCGTACAGGTTATGAGGTGAAGCTGTTGACCAAGTTGGATTTCGTTCTGATGACTTGATGGTGACGTGCTTACCTCATAACTTGTGAAGGCCCTGTGGGTTCGATTCATGATAAGTTCCTGAGTGCGTACTGATGAGGAGTCCCAAACTAGGGGTAAACGGGTATCAGTGCCAGTTCGAGACTAAATCTCCCCTGAAAGCTGTCAAAATATCTACACACCCGAATTTCTCAATTTCAGTTGATATTATTTTTTAAAACAATAAACAAACGGTAATAAAACATCATTTGAAGAATTCATGAAATTTCTATAGAACTCCTGCTCAGCTAAATAATATACATACAGTGGTATATATATATATATATATATATATATATATATATATATTTATATAACATTAGAACCATACCAAAAAGATATGTGGCCAGTAAGTAATATTATTATTAGTCCCTTGGATTCCTTGTGTAGTATAGGGATTCGACCAAACATCTCCGCTTTGTTCTATTCTCTGCTGTCCTCTTCAGCTGGCTAGCTCCACGATTGCCCACAATCTCTCATCTCCTCCTCCTCCTCCTCCTCACACGATCTCCTCAATGTCACCCTCATACTGACGACCCATCCGTCGCTGCTTCCCATTTGGATTCCACTTAAGCATTGATCTGCATTCGGCGCGATGTCATATGTGATGGCCTCGTCAACGTATGCCCTATCCATCTCCATTTTTTTTCTGCATTTTCGTTAAGCAATCGGCTCTTGGTTGGTTTGTTCCCAGCCAGAGTTTCTTGTAGCTAATTCTTTTTGGCCGGCCGATCGGCTGGCCATCTGATATTCAGTATGCAGCCAGCCAGTGAAGGAGGCAGCTGTTGTTAAAAGTCTGCAACAAGCTGTTGGAAATCCTTTTCATGATGTGCACTCCAAGTTTCTGACCGGTATCGAAGAACTGACGGACTTGTCATTTGTATTGGGAATCCAAATCTTGTTCTTCATGCTGGCTGAGTGCAGAAGATTTCCAAACTTGTTTTAAGTTGACTGAAGGCGTATCTTGCCTTTCCGATCTACTCTGGCAGGATTTGACATCTTCATCCATTCCGACTGCCTATGGTTGAAACCGTGATTCCTAGATAAGTGAAGGAGGTAACTCCTTTCAAGTCTTTCCACAGGATGGTGACTGTTGCAGTTGGTTGGTTATCTTCATCACCTCTGTCTTCTCTGTGTTCACCTGGAGTTCTGTCTTCGTTGCCCGCCTCGCTTCTTCAGTCATTTGGTGGTTGGTTTCTGCCTGTAAGTCTTCAAATCTACGTGACATTAAACATAAGTCATCTGCGAAATCCAGATCTTCTAGAGTCTTCTTATCCGTGATCCAACGTATTCCTGTCTCCTGATTCCCCACGTATGTGCGTCGGTGTGGCACAGTGGTTAAGACTCTCGCCAACCATACACATGGTCCGAGGTTCGATCCCCTGCCGACGCACACCTGATATCTGTGGTCGGCCTGCAAAATTTAGGCTACTGATGTCACTTGCTGAAAATTCCATACTTGTATCAAAAATACAGTGTGGAATCAAGCTGTAATCAAAAAAAATAAATAAATAAAATAAATAAACGATATTGAATCATTCACGCAAAACAACGGATACGAATGTTTTTCAGGTCAGATTCATATAGATACATCAAAAGGAGTATGCGAGGTAAACATCAAGGTACAAATGCATTACGGTTCAGTTAGATCACTTAAATAAATAATGAGTTATCAGGTAAAGAGCTTGAATATATCAACAATTGCAAACTGAATAGTAATAATGACAGTGGGACCGGCTAAGATAATGGTACTGACAAAAGATAATTTTAAACAAGTCAAGAATAACAATAAAATAATAATAAATTGATAATTGAAAAGTATTACCATGGTAGATTCAGATTGACCACCATTTCCTTCTGTACACACAGAGGCCAGGTTTGTAAACTCTTCTTTTTTGCCAAGCCTTTTCGATTGCAAACATCTTCGTATTTTCAAGTATTGGTTTTGTAGGGATATTTTTTGATTGTATGGAGGATTTAATCATGAGCTGACATCAGTTAGAGAACCACTGGAAAACCTGGGAGTACTGGACAGCTGTTTCGTCCTAGTTTGGGACTCCTCATCACCCACCCGGGTTCGAACCCAGGACCTTCTGGTTACAAGGCGAGCTCGTAGAGCATTGAGCCACTGGGACCCGATCCAATGGTTCTTGAATTCTAACTTCTGGCAATTCACGACATAGCGCGACCACTTCGCAATGTCTTCTTCGATGAGTTACTGCCTCATCTTCGACCTGCTGTACCCTACTGGTCATGGCTTCCCACTAGCACCCCAGGTTAACTGCCTGTCCTGAGTTCGAACCCCGGTGGGTGCGTACTACTGAGGAGTCCCAAACTAGGACGAAACAGCTGTCCAGTACTCCCAGGTTTTCCAGTGATCCTCTAACTGATGTCAGCTCATGATTAAATCCTCCATGCAATCTTCGTATTTGTTTGTCTTCTGACAACGGCGAATGATTCGACAGTGTCAAAATCATATCCATTGCATAAAAAAGTTACTTTCTTGTTGACGTTATAGGCATTTTGACTCCAACTCTTTCCAACCACTCAGGTGAATTCTCTATCATGCGATTAAACAATCAATTGCCTTTCAGTGAGACGAACTGTGTACTCGACTCCACAAACACCAACCGTAATTTTATTATTAATTTTATGTATTAGGCTATCGAAGACACAATGATTGTGTTGTTTTGTGCACAGCTTATATGATACCATCGGATGCTTCTTTTCCAGAACCGACGAAAAATGAATTGAAATTTGAACAGCGTTCTTCAACGTAATGAATAAATGTGTTTCATTACACATTAAGTATCTCTTATATACACATATACATATATTTGTTATTTTATCGTTTCAGGAATTTATCTCGTATCACAGATTTACATAATTTTTCAACCCCCTACTTTGATCGATTGATTGAACCTAGATGTTTGGCTTCTATTGACATGTCTGACACATAGTACGGATGCTTCGATGGTAGCTGACGTGTGAAACGAAAGGAAGTAAGGTCTAAGTCTCAATGGGGGTGGGGATACCATCACCCACTGGAGATTACAGGTGGTAGCACATCCAGCTGATGAGTCTCAAATGGGACAAAATGCACGGAACCTTGATTCCATCCAGAGGAAACAATAGACACCAAGGTCAAATGACCTTGATTCGACCAATCAGATAGCTCAGCATTACAAATGAATGCCAGTCATCATCCTCATTGCTAGCGTCTCCTAGAAAATTGGTTTTTGACTTCTTTATGGCAAATGTGTTGATAGGGGAGGACTAAAGCATGCATATAATGACATTGAAGAAGTACCACCCCAATGCTGATGGTTATGTATTCAGATGCAATCACTTTATGTGAAGAAGTCTGTAAGAGTTGGTAAGTCCGTGGACAATGGTGATTTTTTGAGACACTTTCTTCTCCAAATCAAAGCTCTCCCTCAGCAATATATATATATATATATATTGCCTATATGCAACCAGTATCTACTACAGCTGGAGAAATAGAGAATACATTCGTTTGATGTGTCTATAACCATATAACAACTGTCTGTTTGTTTTTGACAGAGAACTTTGCACAAATGTGCGGAGGTTCAAGTCGCCACACTCCGTGTAGCACGCGAAGCAAGAGAAGAAAGTACAAGAAAAGCATAATAGAAACAGTGAGCAGAGGTGTGAGACAAAGGAGTAATAAAGAGATACAAAACAATTTCATTGAAGATCATAAGTCACAGGGAGTGGATGCATCTGCGCCACTGAGAACGATTTTGAGCCATGTCACCAATTGTTTCCAACCATAGATTTTTACCGTCCCGAGGACCCCAGCCTGGAAGTCTACACCTTTCTACGTGGCTTAGACCAACTGTTGTGGATTTCATTGACTGGTGAGGCCATGTTTTTGTTTGAACGCTGCTAGCTTTTTTCCAGCCTGACCCTATATCCGCTAACATTGCTCGTCGAGGGAGGCGATGACCAGGCATACGTAACACATGTCCTAACCATCTCAGTCTATGTAACTTCACGAATTCGTCGATTGATTTCCCCTGTTTACCTAGAACTCTACCATATAACAACAGAAAACAAGGGCCAGTCAACAGATCGTTTATTAAGGAAATCAACACATTTTTATAAATTTTCATGTACATATTATAGATTGTTGTTAGCAGAAAATCAATCTGGAAATCTTCGTCACTCAGAATCAACAACAAAATTTAGATTTTTAATACAAACGTTAAGTCAGTCAGTTCTTCTATACGGATCAGAAACTTGGCGGGCGGGTCACAAAGAATATTTCCAATAGCCTGTTGCAGACCTTTATCAGCAACTGTCTTCTCTGGCTCTATACTGAAGATCAGATGGCCGTGCCGAAAAGAATCACCAACAAGAAACTATGGGAACAAACAAAATAAGAACCAATCGTCAACCAACAAATATGCAGGAGAAAGTGGAGATGGATTGGACACTCGCGGCTGAGGAGGCCGCCGCTGGGTGACATCGCGCGCGCGTCAGGCCATTGCTGAAGTGGAACGAGGCCGAAAGGGAATCGGCGAGTGGGACGTCAGTTCGAGGGTGACATGCAGGAGACCGTGTGAAGAAGAGTTGAAACAGTGTAGACTAACATGAATGCAGGTGAAAAGTACAGCAGAAGCAAGACAGAAGTGGCAAGTGGAGACGTGCAGTTGAAGCCCTATGTTCCACTAGGAACCCAAGGGAACAATAATAATAATAATCTGTCACATCCGGAGAAATAAAGAATACACTGGCACGATATGTCTCTAACCACTTCTATGAGGATTTGGGACTAGTTTTTGCAGCATATTAGAGATATATACCCTATATATATATATATATATATATATATATATATGTCATAGATACACTTTTTTATAAAGTAAGTACCACTTTTCACCCAGAAGAATCTGACTGGTTACGTTCAAGGTCGTCTGGGGGGGGGGTTGGTGTCTATTCTGTACTGTTGCCCCATTCACTAAATAACCATCACTCATTGGAGATTGTGGATAGCTCGTCCAGTTGATGAATCTCAAATAGGACAAAACGCATGCATGAATCCTGCTTGCTACTGCTAGTTACCATTCACTAAATAACATCGATGAACATATATAAGTTCAAATGCGCTGTTTTTTTTACTGCATAATAATATTCCTATTTTGTTGTTGTTTTTGTTATTGGACGGTTAAATGTGGCTTTTTTTTGTTTGTTCTCCGTCTCAAGGATACTGTCCCCCAACAGTACAATGGATCTGATTGTGGTGTATTTATGTGTACATTCAGTGAATTTATTTCTCGTGGTGCACCATTCACTTTTAGTCAGGTAATTTTATTGGATATATAATTAATGCATTTCTTAATTATTGATTTTTATTATCTACTTCTGCATTTGTGTATTTGTGATTATGCGGTGGGGGAAAACTTTGGTTCCGTTGCATCAGTTATGAGTTATGAGCCGCGTCTTCCTCGTTTGTTCTCTTTGTTGTTGAGTTTCTGTGTTGTCGCATTTGTGGAGTGAACGTTGTTCCCCCGTTTACACCTGGTGAAGGCACTTGGCTGATTGTCATAAGCACTTGATTTTCAGACAGTGCGTCCAGGGTTCGAATCTCACCCCTGCCCCTGCCTACTTCATCTTGTGCGACTGGGAAGTCGTATCACAGTCCTCGTAGATATAATTAATATGGCTCATGGTCTGTTGCATGAAATACTCCTTCTCGTGGTGCCGAGTTCGAACACTATATACAGATTTGTTTACAGTATTTCTTTTGCTTTACCAGACGATGATAGCTAGTGTAAACAGTTGTTCTCATGGTTGCGTAGAGTGCATTAAAAGTCATTTCTGCGCGATCAACCATTAAGAGTGATCCGTTGTTTGGTTTTTAGTCATTATCTGTGTATCTATATTCATTTATGAGCTTATATTATATTAGGATGGGTACGATCATTATGAAACTTTAACTTAGTTAAAAGTTGGGCTTTTTTTGTCTATTTGGTGAAAGAAGTGTCGAGTTTATCATTCCAGAAGCTCTGTTGTTACATCTTATATACCTTAACCCCAATGTTATGCTTCAGACCAGTAGGTGCTAAGTCCAGGTACTGTCCCACCTTATTGTTCTTGGAAAATACCCATATGGACATTAGAAAAAAGAGAACACGAAGTTCAGCAAAGATATCTTTTCGGCGATTTCATTCTCAAAAGCTGTACAATCACATTTATATAGATTATTTTAACATGGATAGAATTATTATTTGTTTAATTTCACATAGTAACGAAGGTGATAATAGTTTTCAACTTGATATGATAGTTTGAAGGTACGAATATAGATTACAAGAGGCTTAGAGACAAGATTTCATAGGATTAGAAAATAGTTACAACGTATGCAAAAAATTAATATTTGATAACTGGCGAAATAATTTTAAAGGCGAATCGAAGGTGATAATTATTTTCGACCGATTCTAGACATGTCAGGGTCACCATACCATCCAATCGCCAAATGGTTGTCCGAAATGTTGGAGCCGGTAAGACAACACCTATGCAAATACTCTCTTCGTGATACTTTTGAGTTCATCGAATGCATAAAAGATTTGAATGTAAATGATAAACGAATGCTATCACTAGATGTTGAATCTCTTTTTACCAACGTGCCACTAACAGAAACAATTTGCTTTCTGTGCAATTATATGGAGAAATCTAATATAAACGTCGGAGTACCAATATCATATCTGAAGGAATTGTTGCTGAGATGCACGCTGAATGTACAATTCACCTTCAACGGCGACATCTACAGACAGAAAGATGGAATTGCAATGGGATCTCCTCTTGGCCCGCTTTTAGCAGACTGCTTTATGGCCAGTTTGGAGAGTGGAGTTTTAAAATCAACAATAAACAAATTAATACTATACAAAAGGTACGTTGACGATACCTTTATAGTCTGCTACGAGAACTCGGACTTCAACTGCATCTTACAAGAATTCAATAATTCCCATCCTTCGATTAAATTCACAATGGAGTTAGAAAGCGATTCAAAGATTCCATTTCTGGACGTGGAATTGACGAGAAGAGATGATGGAACCCTGAAGAGGTCCATCCACAGAAAACCGACATGGAATGGCCAACTAACGCATTTCTATAGTTGGATACCTCTGAGCCGAAAACGAGCCCTCATCAGCGCACTAACCCATCGCGTTAGAAAAATCTGCAGCAACGATTGCATGGAAGAGGAGCTCCTATTCCTCAAAAATATCCTGGCTCAAAATGGCTACCCGACACGTTTTGTCGAAAAGAACATGAAACCTAAACCTAAAAGAGAAGAATGCGATTCAGCGCCAAAGAAAACGCTGTATCTAAATCTGAATTTCAAGGGAGATTTGGCAGCTGATATCCTGAAGAGGAGAATATCCAGCTCTCTAAAGAAGACCTTCCCTGCAGCAACACTAAGAGTGACATTCTCTAGCCGCCCAATACTTCGAAACAACACGAAGGACAAACTTTCGCATATGACCAATTCAATGTGCATATACCAGTTCACTTGCTCGTGCGGAGCTAGGTACATAGGTCGTTGTATGCGCGTCCTCTCAAAACGTGTTAGAGAACACTACCCAGCGTGGCTGCAAAGAGGAGGCACCGGTTCAATCAGAAGTGCCATTATTGAACATCTGGTCAACACCTCCCACAAAATCTCAACCGATTCTTTCAAAGTGATTTACAAAGTCAACAGAAACCTACCAAAAGCAATATGTTTCCGACTTCTTTGTACTGCAGAAGCCCTCGCAATATGCATCGAGAAGCCGGAGCTGTGTGTTCAAAAGAAGTTAGTCCAACCTCTACAACTACCATGGACCTAGCTTGGTATGTTCCCTTTGTTTCCGTCTTTTTTTTCTCTTCCTCGTCTGTTTTCGTTCTTGTTTTTTCCTTTAGAGCATTTTTCGTTCGCTGTGTGTCTGATTCTTAGTCCCTCAATCTTCGTTTAATCCACCTAATTTTTTTTTCAGCTATAAAAACAGTTATTTTAAGTTTGTTTCCATGCTTTCCCTGTTCACATTTATAAATCGTTTGAAATAACTATTTTACAATTATATCTTAATATTGTGCAATTTTTGTGTTTCTAAGGCTTTTGTAATCTATATTCACACGTCCTAACTTTCATTTCAGGCTCAAATTATTTTTTCAGTTAAAAAAACTAGTTATTTTAATTTTGTTTCCATACTCCTCCTGATCACACTTGTAATCCGTTTAGAATAACCATTCTACAATTATATTCTAATCCTGTGTAATTTTTTGTTTCTATGCCTCTTGTAATCTATATTCATACCTCCTAACTAACATGTCAAGTTGAAAAATTTGATTTCAATTTGTTTCCATGCTCATTTTGTTCACACCTGTAGTTCGTCCTATCCCTGCGTTTCTAAACCTCTTGTAATTCATATCAAGTCGAAAATAATTATCACCTTCGATTCGCCTTTAAAATTATTTCTCCAGTTATCAAATATTAATTTTTTGCATACGTTGTAACTATTTTCTAATCCTATGAAATCTTGTCTCTAAGCCTCTTGTAATCTATATTCGTACCTTCAAACTATCATATCAAGTTGAAAATTATTATCACCTTCGTTACTATGTGAAATTAAACAAATAATAATTCTATCCATGTTAAAATAATCTATATAAATGCGATTGTACAGCTTTTGAGAATGAAATCGCCGAAAAGATATCTTTGCTGAACTTCGTGTTCCCACCTTATTGTATCATCAACTGTGGCATATAGACTGGTAGTAGCACTTTGAGAATCTGTTCTGCGTGATCGTATTGGAGCAACTCTTAAAGGTATTTTAGTATATCACGTAGTTTCCGGAAATCTGAATTCTATTCGGTGTATGTATCATCAGTTCGTCTAACTCACTTGCTGGAATCCTGATGATTTCAAGTGATTTGTGTGTCTGAGCTGAATTAAACTATGAGTACGCCATTGATATGCGCCATCAAAGCAAACGAAACATCTTTCGGTTGTTAACATCGCTTCGATTAAGCTAGCAAATGCCACTGTTTTTTTATTTGAGCAGTTTCCAACAACTCACATTAGTTAGTTAGTTGTATATACCAACATTTAGAAAATTTAGTATCTGTTAGATTATAACACGATAGTTTAACGTTTTTACTGTAGCTGTGGTTGTGTAGCGTTGAAAACGTCCCAAATGTTAAATCACTTTCTCTATGATTTCATTACCAATTCGCCTGTAAGTGGTTTCACCTCGTGATCAAGGTTGCATGGCCTTGTTATCCATTTATGTCACAGGCTTTTCTTGTTATTATTTTTTTTTCTTTCATCCCAATAAATGTAGTTAGTTTCTTGTATGTCTAGCTATGACCTGTACTTCTTGTGTAAGCCACTGATGTTGTTAGTGAGTTGTCCAAGTTGAACGCAGTTAGTGCAATTGTGCACATATGTATAAGAAACGTTTAGGTAAAAACCCTATTCGATAAATAACTCTCCTCACCTTCAACATGCTGTACCCTGCTGCTCACAGCTTCCCGCTAGAAACCCCAGGTAACTGTCTGAATAGAGCCAGTCGTTAGTGCGCATCAGATCAGTATCCAAATATTGATTTTGTAGGGATTTTGTTTAATTGGTTGGAGGATTTCAACATGAGCTGACTGACATCAGTTAGCGAACGATTGGAAAGTCTTGGGTTACTAGACAGCTGTTTCGCCAGCTTAGTTTGGGACTCTTCAGTAGTACGCCCCCATCGGGGGTCAAACCCAGAACCTTCTGGTTGTAAGGCGAGAGGGCTCGTAGACCATTAATCCTTATTACCAAACAAAAGTGTAGAAGGGAAGACAGGTGGATTAGTAGACGTATGCTGCTGATGAGATCGTCGGGTGGGGGGGGGAACCCAGTGGGAAATGACGACTTGGACTTATAGTTCAAGGGTGAAATGGAGGAGATCGTATGGACAGGAAATGAGAGCTTATCGTTGATTTGTGATGAAATCAGCTTAAAAGGCCTGCGCAGAATAGGATAAAATGGAGTGTATCGTAGCTCCGCTAGGTGAACCTGGATGGCCGATTTTAAGCGCCAGATGTCCGGATTCACCCTTTCACTTTTGTGAAGAACCCGTCTCGTCGTGAATAAGACTTATTTTGCAGAAGCTGTGAATGTCTTGCCACATGAAGGGGGGGGAAGAGCATTTCGACAGTGTCAGACTTAAAGTCTACGCATCCTCGGCTATATAGCAGTTCGTTTATGAGAGGTATGAGTAGTTATTCTTGCCGAAGCTTTCTTTTAGACAATTTTTATCGTGATTATCCGATTTCCTCCTTCGAAATTAGCGTCCTGCCCTTTACTCTAATTCCCTGTTTTTAAAAGGTCATTGAGTCGGTTGTTCGCTTGATGAATCATCTGTTTTTATAACTGTTATTGTAATTAATTAGTATGTTTATATTTGTAATCAGATGGTTTCTCTCTCTCTCTCTCTCTCTCTCACACACACACATACTGATTCTCTTGTTTCTCTGTTCTCTTCTCGAATAATGCAGGATGATATGCCAGGGATACGTAAACGTATGATGTACGAGATATTGACTCAACAATTATTAACTACAAACTTCAAATTGGAAGATGATCAATCCACTTGATCAGATTATTGTTGTTTATTGCACTCGTTTGTGTATTTATGTATGTATTTATTTATTTATGCATTGTATTTCATATATATGTATTCCAATGTTCTTTATTCCTTTCTCCCCATCTTCAGCCTTTCCTTTCACATTTTCATCTCCTCTTTTTGTTTCTGTCTGTATGTGTATTTGCGTCTGTGTGTGTGTGTATGTGTGCGAGCGTGCGTCTGTGCATATTCCACATGTATGGAGAAAAAGCAATGGCGTCTTAGGTTGTTCTTTTCTTTTTTTTTTGCTTATCTATCGTCCTCTACTGTTGTTATGTGTAGCAACAGAACATTGTTGGTCAGACACACACCTCTGCCGGCTGTCTCTTCCTCCTCCCCCACCACTACTCCTTGGTGCTTCAAATTTCTTTTTTTTTTCTAGTAAATATTTTGTTTATTTTTTGTTTTATTTTATTTTATACCTGAGACTTTGTGTTCAGCATTACAGATCTTTTGTTTTGATGTACTATTAGTACTACTACTACTACTAGAGCGTCTCCGCCCCCGCGCTCCTGTACTGGAGGTCGTTAACAGTGTTGGTGGTGGTGCGACAACAACACTGAGAGGAAAACACCTTCATTATTTTATTATTATTATTGTTAATATTAAGAATGTGTAAATATAACCTATATGTTTTTGATGTTTTGGCTTTTACTTATCAAATACTTTTAATTGGTCTTATAATTTTGATTGGACACTAGTAACCAGTGTGATGTGTCTAGTCCTTTCTTTGGTGCAGACTGAATTTTATCAATCAAGTTTGCAATGTGGCCACCATTCTAGGTAGTTGGACATCACGGTGTACATTGATTTGATGATATTAGATGGTTGGAGGTAATCGGCCATAGGAAGCCTTGCCTGACCTAGGTTTCGTGCTAGTTGGCACTCACCAGTCAGTCAGCAAGGCGTATTTGCAACTGCCTTGAAGGAACTCATGTCCCCTTTCTGAGATTCGAACCCGCGTCACCCAGTGCCGCCTGCAGTCAGAGACATTACCACTGAGCTATTCGGGCTCGCGATTCACCTCCTCCTCTTGTAGGACTGTAGTGGGTATTTTGATTGGACACTAGTAACTAGTATGACGTTTCTTCTAGTCCTTTCTTTGGTGCAGACTGATCTTTTAATTGGTCTTATAATTGTTTAGAGACACAGTAATAAGAAGACGTAATTTGTCTGAATCGTGTGTAATGTGTGTGTGTATTTGCGTACAACACATTTCGAAAAATTTGATCACACCCATGGACTGTTAAGAGTATGTGGTGAGAGTTGTCTGCTAGGCAAAATTGATAAACACCAATTTACGTCAATGCTGTTTACGTCCCGAAAAATCTTGGTCATGAGAAAAAAAAAAAAAACAACAAATACTAACTCAACAAATGATCACAGCAGACTTGTCTGTCTGTCTGGTTTCAACATAGAACTTTGTAGAAATGTGCGGCAGTTCAATTCGCCACACTCCATGTAGCACACAAAGCAACAGAAGAAATTAGAAGAAATGCATAATAGAGACAGTAAACAGAGGTGTAAGAAAAAGGAATATTAGTAACGAAGAACAACAATTCATTGGAAATCATAAGTCACAAGAAGTGGATGCATCTGTGCTAACCATCACTGATGACAATTTTTAGCCATGTCACCAATTGTTTCCAGCCTTCATTGGTTTTTACCGTCTCGAGGACCCCAATCAGTCAGGAAGTCTACACCTTCCTACTTGGCTTAGACTAACTGTTGTGGATTTCATTGACTGGTGCCGCCATGTTTTTGTTTGACCTCCGCTAACTCTTTTCCAGCCTGACCCTATGTCGGCTAACATTGCCCATTGTCGAGGAAGGCGATGACTAGGTATGCAAGCGTAACATATGTCCTAACAGTCTCTCTCAATCGACGTAACTTCACAGCCTCATCGATTGATTTCCCATCTCTACCTAGCACTAGAAGCCTAAACTCAATATTGCTCACCTTATTATACCACTTCACACGGGAGATAGAACGCAGGCACCTATGATCAAAGACAGCTAGGCTGGCTTTTCATGTCTTCCACTCTCGATGGCCAGGTCTCAGTCGCAGCCATAAAGGAGGACGGAGCGGACTGTTGAGCAATACACCCGCCCTTTCGTCGATAGTCGGATATCACGTCTAGTAAGCCAGAGAGGGCGTAAACTGGTATATTCGAAACTAGCCTACTGTATCCGTGCTGAGATTTCGTCAGAAATCAACCCGTTGGCGTTGGCTGATGGTACTTCCCAAATAAGTGAAGCGGTCAACGTGCTCTACCACTTCACTCCCTATTTTTAAACTACGGGTCAGTGTGGTCCTGTCCTGTAACATCATCTTGCATTTGGGGGGAGCTAATCCCACGCCAAACATTTGTAGATTGCAGCTCAAAGTGTTCAGAAGACTCTGCTCTATTTTGTCAGCGTCCTCGCCTAGGAGGACTATATAGTGTGCATATTCTAAGTCAGCGAAATTATTCCCTGGTAGTAACAAGTCAATCCCTAAGTCTCTGAAGTGAGTTAGGGTTAATTCCGTCAGTATATCTATGATGAAATTGGATAGAAATGGGAATAGTGGGCATCCCTGATGGACACCACTGGTTGTCACCAGTTCAGATGACAGCTCGCCGTAAGCCCTCACCTGGCTGTATGAGTACGAATAGAGTGCCTTAATCAGTGCAATGTATTTTCTCGGAATTCCCTTTACAGCCAGGCATCTCCAGAGGACTTCTCGATCGACAGAGTCGAAAGCTGCCTTTAGGTCAAGAAATACAATGACTGTTGGACGCCGGTAGGAATCCCTATGTTCTAGAATCTGTCGGAGGGTGAAGATATGATCAATACACCCTCTTCCTGGTCTAAAGCCTGCCTGGCTCTCTCGTGTTTGTGCCTCTCGAGCACCACTCAGTCTACGCATGATTATTGAGCCTAAGACTTTAGATACTATATTAGTCAAGCTAATCCCTCTGTGATTATCACAGGAAGACTTGTCTCCCTTCTTGTATAAGGGGATAATCAGTGACTTGCACCAACCCGATGGGACTTCTTCTGATTCCCAGACGCTGCCTAGTATCTCAGTTAATGCAGATAGTAAACTGTCTCCACCGTACTTAAATACCTCTGGAGTCATTCCATCAGGTCCCGCTGCTTTACCTTGTTTCAGAGTAGTGATAACTTTAGTAACCTCAGTTAAGGAAGGGGGACCTGTGTTTATATCTCATTCGGGGAGGTGTTGGATGTTCGGCAGGTTGACCGTGTCTGTATGCCAATTAAACTGCTCCTCATAGTGTTCTTTCCAACCTTCCAGTCGTCTATCATGGAAGCTAATTATGGTGCCATTCTTCTCAGAGACTGTTTCACATATCATTTGTCTTTTGCCACCTGTTTCCCTGATAAGTCTAAATAGTTGTCTGGTGTTGCTAATCGCCATCTCTTTCGCTTTCGTCTCGCAACACTGTTCACGGTCGTTACGAAGACTTCTTGTTAGTTTTCGTTCGCTCCTCATCATAATCGGAGCTCGCTGGAAACAGTCTTCTTGCGTTAATCAGTTCGGATGAGGCGGTATAGATCCAATTGCTCTTACTAACTTTTGGTTTTAGCTTATTAACAGCTTTCATAGCAGACTTTGTGTGGGCAGATACGATTCGCAAATATATCACCGTACTGTCTAAGAAACAACAACAACAAAGAGATGACAGAATAACCTTGAGCAGGAAAAAACCAATCAGAAGACGTTGCCTCTTTGCTAACATTAACGCTAATAATAATGTACATAAAAATCTACAGATAGCTGTTCTCTAGCCCTTTTCTTCTGTCGGTATAAGAGGAATATATATGAAATGAATAAAGAGTGAAGAGGTGCGAAAATAGACTACTTAGGTCAAGTTAAAAGGACATATTGAAGGTGAAAATAAGAATGAAGATCACTAAAGCAAATAACAAAGGTAATAGTACATCTACCTTGACTGGTATCAAAACAAAGTTTACCAAGTTGAGGTTTAGTGTGATGACGAATTGTTTTTGAAAGCATTAAGGTGGTTTAAACTTCCTAATTGCCAACTAAGACTTCCAGAAATTCTAGGATACTCTGCAAACACATTTTATAGGTTTGTTGAAAAGATGTGCTGTGAAGCATATTCCTAAATGTCTCCAGAAGCAAATAGAATCCCCACAACCTATTAATAGTAAGAATAGGAGACCTAGCTCCTCTATTGCGAACCATATTACAGAGGAGACAGGTAGCACAGTGGTTAGGACTCTCGCCGACCATGCACATGGTCCAAGGTTCGAGCCCACACCGGCGCATACCTGATATCTATGGTCGGCCTGCAAAATTTGGGCTACCGATATCCATGCTGAAAATTCCATACTTGTACCAAAAATACAGTGTGGAATCAAGCTGTAAATCGAAAGAAAGAAAGATATAAAGTTGATGTTTACATGTCTTTTAAACCTATCTATCTATAAAATGGGTTTGGGGGAGGGCGTATCCTAAAGTTTGTGGAAGCCCTAGCTAGCAATTAGGAAGTTTAAACCACCTCTATGTGTTCAAAGCAACAATTCATCATCACACTAAACGTCACCTTGGTAAACTTTGTTTTCAAGTGTTGGTTTGTCGGAATTTGGTTGATTGGTTACAGGATTTCATCATGAATTGACATCGGTTAGAGGACCATTGAAAAACCTGGGAGTACTGGACAGCTGTTTCGTCCTAGTTTGGGATTCTTTAGTAGTACGCACCCACCACAGGGGTTCGAACCCAGGACCTTCTGGTTACAAGGCGAGCCAGCTTGTAGACCATTAAGCCACTGGAACCCGATACAATGACCAGTCCATGAATTCTAACTTCTGCCAGTTTACGACAAATCGCGACCCCTTGCCAATGTCTTCGGCGGGTATATGTCCTCACACCCGACCTGCTCCACCCTACTGGTCACGACTTCTCACTAGAACCAGCCCAGGTAACTACCTACCTAAATAGAGCAAGTCGCTAGTGAGCATCTCATCGATATTCAACTGTTGGTTTGTAGGGATTTGATTGGTTGCAGGATTTGTTTTGTTACCAGCCAAGGGGGATATAGTATTACCTCTCTTACCTGGTTTAGTGATCTTCAATTCTGTTTTGACCTTCAATATGGCGGCTTTTTAACTTGACCTAAGTAGTCTATTTTCTCACCTCTTAACTCTTCAATAATTTTATATATATTCCTATGACAAGTCTGTGGGTGTGACCAGGTTGTTCGAAATGTATTGCGCGCAAATACAACTAAATTCATAAAAGGAACTAATTGTTTTAATTGTATATATTTGAAACACTGCAGGTATACACACTAATCAATCGAGGTTCGAACCCAATAGCCTTCTGGTTACAATTCGAATTCGTAGATTATTCAGCCATTGGGACACTATCCTGTTTCTCAGGAATTACAACTTCAGCACAACCGCTAGTTCAGCTATTATCGTAGGCGGGTTACTGTTCTCCTCTACCTGATTTGTTGGATTCTTGTGGTTGCATTATTGTATATATCGCTAATTTCCGTCCGGGGGTTGGAATTCCAGCAGAAAAAGAACAAACACTGGTTGGTGCAGAATAACACCACGCATCCATTTAATTTCATTGGTTGTCATCAGCTGGGTGCAATCTGTA